ATATATATATATATATATATATATATATATATATAGAGAGAGAGAACACATTTGACAGAGTTATCCTGATTCTACTAGTTAAGGTGCCTAGCCCCTTGTACAGAAATGCCAACTTGAATGGTGGGTTATCTTGATCCTAGAAGTCTTGCGAATATGCATCGCCCCTTGCACAGTAATACCAACAAGAATGGTGGGTCAGGTTCTTGTTTGTAGGGAACCTGGACAAGGGTTGCTGGCCAATTGAAGTTTTATAATGATGTTTCTATAGTATAGGATCTCCTTTAGCTGTATCATTTTTATCTATTCTCTTATCTGCAACATGGATATATGTTCGGATATAGATGTGTAATCTGGATTCTTCCCCACATCTCATGACTATCCAGTTGCATTGATCAACTTGTGGGCGATTCTAGAGTTGAAATGGTGGGGTATTTAACTCTATAAATCAATTTAAATCGGTTTTCTGTGTCTATTTCAGACCCATATCTTTATCTCAGTTGAGCAGAATTTTCTTGATATGGATGCAACGTTGGGAATCCGTTAAGGTCTGGATATTTTGCAAAGTTGGATGTAGATTAATTAAAGCCATGATATGAGAATATGTTTAGAAATATCATCATTACAAATTAGTTCTTTGTGATTTGGATTCTGCATATATTTATATATTGGCGCAATATATATTTATATATTGGAACAACCTTTTTCGACTTGGTTCCATTTGATTTTTCTGAACTTTTCAATTAACTTTGAATAAATTTTTACATGATTGTTTATGGAATATAATTACACGGTAATTGTTTTTAACAACATGGGAAACGTATTGCCTTTAACCGATTTGGTTGGAGTAACGATCGATTTTCATTGAATCCTACAATAGTGGAGTCAGAACGGGTTAAGAGTGAGAGCTCAACACAGTTATCACCCCATTAAGAGTAGAGGTTACATTGTATAGTTGTCCTTCATAGCTGGCTATAGTAATTCCCACACCTGGCCCCATGTCTTTGCTTATTAGTTAAGACCATCAACGGTCCTGGAATTCGTATCAACTTCCGCGTAGATATGAAGCATACGAGGACAGCCTCCTGGCATGCCGGAGCATCCACCAATTTCAGACCATCCACTATCTGGGATGCACGGAGCTCATATGTGTCCCACCACACCAGGTGTGTTAGAGTCCAGATTTCTGGAATTATTCACCCAATCTGAGATATATTTACCGGATAAACAATATAAGTGGTGAAGTTGAAATTTGATCTGTTTGCAGAAGCCACAGCTCAAAATATCTTCTAATAAAACACTCGCTATTTATCGTTCGAAGGCGCACGGCCATTCCAACACGTAAATGAAGTCTCTCACGAATGGTTACGGGCCACGGCATCGCGCATGCATGACCGCAGATGGCAAGCACGCGACACCTGGTGGGGCGAAATAGGTAACTGGAGCAGAAGCGTCGGCAATACCGACTCGAAGATGCGATGCATGCACACTGAAGGCCACTCTTGGAAGATGTGAAAGCGTGGTGGGAGCTGATGGCCAACGTCCCGCCTCAACGTGACGCGTCGCATCATTCGCAGTGCCACCAAGATAAGAAGGTGAAGCCACTCTTTCATCTCAAATAATAAAAGGACATAAAAAAACAGAGAGAAAAATAAAGACAAAAAAATAGTAGGGGATGTAATTCCCAAGACCCAATCAACTTGATTTCTGATACTAAGAAGAGGGGATAATATGCCAAGAAGATTCCACAGAAGTAGACCATCCCCCCATCTTTTGAACGGAGAAGACGGGGAAGAAGGAATCCTAGTGGTGGAAAACGCTGCTACAAAACTAAACAATTGGAGTTGACTGACCCCACGTAGATTCTCGTTCAGCACGTAATGTGTTGGTGGACTCCTTGTCATATCCCTCGGGGAATATTACTTCGTACAAACCAAAGTTCGAATTCAACAACTGTCGCATATAGGAACATGTGTTCTTACATGTTATGGAACCAACCTTTAAGCTTGGATGTAAGTTGGCTGGCAGGTATTTTCGTCCTCTTTTCATATGGAAATGACTAATAACTTTAAGATGCAATAGATGGGAAGTTATCCTGGCAACCTTTGATTGTCGAATGCCCGAAACCAATCTGAATTCTTTCATCCATGAATGTTTGAGGACTCCATCGAAGTAAGAAAACACAAAAAAGGGAATCTAATCGACCTTTACGTATCAAGGTTTGCCGCCAGGCTGGAAACCAAAGGAGAAGGGCATTTTCGGTAATTTCGTATTACTTTATTCTTCTTCGGAGGGGCCCGCTTCATGACTACACCTCCCGTCGTTTCCTACGCGGCGCCCATCCCTTACGTTCGGCTCACTGCTTCCAATGACTGCCGTGCTTTTAACCTTCACTCGGTCTCCTCACCATTAACTTTTGCCTAAGCAATCGTGAAGAGTACGTCAACCGCCCCTGCTCGAAAGCAGAGGAGAGGACGCGTCAACTGTCCTAAACCGAATCGGATCGTTTGGCTAACCAAACCGATCGTATATGAATTAGTGAATGCGAATTCCAATTACTAATATTATTAATGTTATACGTTTGGTTGTTTCGGACCCCTTGCGTCTCACGCTTTGCTTTCCTTTTGTCCTATAAATGCCGGGAAGTGGAAGCCTTTGCAAGGCTTGAAGAGACGCCTCCCCAAAAACACTTCCGAGCTTCTCTTTCCCCTCTCTCTCCTCCCACCTGCAACGAAACTGCTTTGCCACCTGAGCCAGTGAAGAGATCGGGGTTTGCCATGGTGGGAACGTCGTGCTCCTCATCGTCCTCTTGCGCTTCGTTCGGCTCCTTCGACGCGGACGCCGCGGCCGCCAAGCGTTCCCCCACCGCCGCCACCATCAAGTTCCTCTGCAGCTACGGCGGCAAGATCCTCCCCCGGTACCCCGACGGCAAGCTCCGCTACATCGGCGGCGACACCCGTGTGCTGGCTGTCGACCGTTCCGTCCCCTTCTCAGGTATACTTGATCCGTTCCTCGTATTGATTTCCATCGTGAAATTCGATTTTGCCGGAGGACAAGAGGTGATAGATTGATGGGGTTCTTGGCTGATGAACAGAGCTGCAGGAGAAGATGAGGGAGATGTGCGGGTGGGTCGCGGTCAGCCTCCGCTGCCAGCTGCCGACGGAGGACCTTGACGCGCTCGTGTCGGTCAAGTCCGACGAGGACCTCGCCAACATCATGGAGGAGTACGATCTCGCTGGCCGCGAGAAGATCCGGGCCTTCTTGTTCCCCCCATCGTCCAAACCGAGAAGCCCCACCCACCCAGCGGCGACGGCCACGGCGCTGCCCAGCGGCCGGCCCTGGATACTCTCCGAGAAACGCTGCATCCACCAGATCTCTGATCCGATGAGGTATCCTGGCCGGTACGGTAAGTCCGGCGCCATATCCTCAGGAGATATACGTTACCGTGCCCATCACCACCATCCCCAACATCACCACCATCACCATCATCTCCATGGCCACCATGCGATTCCAAAGCCGTGCAACTATCTCGTGCATCAAGGAAGCCAGTGGCAGTAGTAGTACCACCGCCACCAAGGAGAAGAACTCGAGGTAAAACAGAAGAACCGAAACGGAGCTCCGTTCACCTGTAACCGGGAGTAGACTGTATCGAATCTCTCTTGCTTTTAATACAAAAATAAATCTAAAAAAGAAAATAAACCTCCCAACAATTAAACTCTTAAATAACCGAAAAGGGTTTTCTTCATCCTCCTCGTCTGTGGCCTGCCGTCTTCTCTGGGCTTTTCCTCTCCCTCGTGTGTGTGATTTCTTAGTGTTTCCACCTCTCCGTTCGTGTCACACGTGAGTCGCAGGTGTCTTCGTTAGGACTCCGTTCGTGGTCTTCCACTCTTTTAGGTTTGCGTTATTTCTACTTTTGCTTTTTCTTGGTCGTGTCCGTTAACGTGCCTTTTCTTCTCTTTCTGTTGAAATGTTTTTTATATTTATTTCGTCCTTTTTTTTTTTTCTGGATTTGTGGCTATTACTCATTCAATCGCTTTGTCTCTGTTCGCAGGTTGCTTCGTGGTGCGGTGAACCGTTTCATCGCGGGACCATGTATTTTTGTTGGCACCCGCAATCGATGCGCCGGACACAACAAGTTCATACATCACATCTACTTGGACATACCGAAACACAAAAAGACGTTTATTTTCATCTTAAAATGATAGTAAACGAATTCTTTTAATTTATATCACTATAATTTATCAAATACTGCTTTATATAGCATCCATACGATCAATAATTTTTTTTCCTGTTTTCAGAGACAAAAATAGCTCTTATTTTATAGAAAAACAATGCTGATAAATATTTTAAAGTGTTTTTTAGATTCTTAATTTACTTGGAAATTGGCCAGGATTGAGCAGGTCTGCCGCTTACTCTGGCTTTATCCGTGTGGTCAAAGCCTGTGAGTGTGACCTTTGATCCAACTATTTTTATTAAAATTATGTAAAATTTTGAAAAGCTCGATTAACTAATAATTTTTAGAGACATTAGTATATGATTTTTTAAATATAATAGATAGCAACATTTTTGCATTCAAAATTTTTATTTGATTGCTTCCCGAACCTACTCGAGTCAACGACGCCAATTTTTGTGTTTTTAATATGAGTCAATAATTATTGAATACAATAAATTTGTAAGATATTAGTTGGTAGAGGTACCCAAGAGAATGGCAATGGAAACTTATGGACCGTGTGATTGTACTGAGGAGGAGGTTGGCTTGACTATTTCATCGGTAGGGTAGTAACGCTGTCGCTGTTATGAATGGTGAACACGCCATTTGTTGAATTTGGAAGAAATATTTGTTCATATTAATTTTGTTTTCTTGTGATAATTTATCACAACAAATATATGCCCAAATGGTATGGTACCTATTAATTATATTTGTGGTAAACAAACAATAACGACATATTGATCACTTCAATTTTCATGGGATATATGCTCGTCATCAGTCTGCCCTTTTCTGTCAGATACCCCCTTCTTCTTCTTGTTCCTGTTCCTTTCCATTAAGTCAAGGGAAAGGCTAATTGATCAAGATGGCAGGGAGATGATGAACCACACACAGGATTTGACGCAACATTTACCAGTCAGATGTAGCATAAGGCTGCTGACATCAATCCGACCTGAGAACAGGGCAAGAAGCGATTCTGATGCTGACAATGGAGGCTGCCCCCCTTGGATAACCACGACACGTCGCCCTGATCTATTGCAGATGGGGAACATAACGTAAATGATGACCACGACAAGAATTATTCCACGAGTTTTATCACCTTCATCTGATGTCTTCTTGAATGCACGATAGATCGTCACCTTCCCCCATCCATGGTGATGAACATGGACTTCATTCGTATAGAGACTCAAACTGGGCCTCGAAAGAGAACCCACGGAGTTGGCCCATCCGTGATGGCCGGCCGAGCACTCAAATTTGGACGTCGATCCGACGCCGCGAGACGGAAGGACTTCTCCCCTCGTCTTAATCGCCCTATAACGCAACATGACACGTGGATAGAGCATGTACCTTAATTCCGCACTCCATCAACAGACCGCCATAGCCCACCGAATCGGATCCTCCAGTGGGCAAGTCATAAAAAGGTGAGAAGATCCAAACCCGCCCCCGTCCGCCGCCAACTCCTCCCTGACACGAAACACACCCATCGCACCACTCCCACGTGGACACATCACACACTCCTCCACTGCCCCCCACCATCGGAATCTTGCACGTATTTTAAAGAACTCCAAGCCCCGAGTTGAACCTTGTCGCGTGGCTCCGCATAATTGCCCACTTATATACTGCCATTATTGGATCTTTTAGCAGAGTGCCCCCAATAATGGACGCTTTAGTTACGCATCATCCCAATATTAAACGGGTGTAACTTGTGGCCATACGAGCTGTCCTATTTCTATCTAAGGAAAACGACATTGATACGAGCTCATGTGGACGTCCACATCCACATACCCTATTGCTCGTAATTCAAATGTGGCTCACCGTCAGAGACATGTTGGTGCTCTTATCGATCCACGCTTATCCTTGTCCGCGCCCGGGGAAGGTGTACCGCAATTCGTTCGAGGGTTTCCAGATGGCAGGGTGGTCCCGTTATCGACACGGATTAGTTCACGGGTCGAGGCGCCACCGATGCGCACCACCGAATTCCACTTATCACCCCAATGCCTCGGTGGCGCCCACGGTTACTGCATCGCGATGGAAACCGGACCCCACATCCTTTTTCTCCCGTGCGCGAATAAATGCACGTAAAGGGAAAGGAGGTTCGCGTTCCGTAAGCCGAACGCCCATCGCCTCCGGCTCTCTTCGCCGAACTTGGAAGGCCCATATTGGATCCATTGCCACACCCTCTCTTCCTCTTCGAGAAGAAGGAAAGGCGGTGGGTTCTTCCGCGAGATCTGTGTCTCCCGCGAGATCTGGACAGCCAGAGGAGGCTTGGAAAGGGGAGGGAGGGAGGAAGAAGGAAGGACTCGACAGAGGAAGCACGCCAACCGAGGGTTGCTGCATGTCAGATCGTGGCAACGGTATTGGCCACTACTACGGCGGATTCGGTGAGCTTGCCAACCCTCTGCAATGGCCACAACTGAGGAAAAAGCGACGCCTTGCTGTTCTCCCAGCCTCCTGCCTCCCAAGGCCAGCGGCGCCAAGGGAGGAGCGCCTCGGAGCGAGGCGGCGGTCGGGGAATGGATCGCGGCGGCGGATCCAAAGCGGCCCGCCTCGGCAGCGACGGCCATGAGCCCGCTCGTCCCCGTCGAGGACGTCAAGGACCCTCCCGCCAAGGCTTCCCTTCCGGGTACCGATCCTGCGTCCTCGTTCACCTTTCTTGATCTTGTTTCGTGATATGACTTTTAGATCTGATATTGTCGGTGTTATGTCTACTTTAAATTTCTGCCACGTTATTCATCGGAGAGAAAAAAACCTTGGAAATTAAAGGATAAATGGCAAAACTACGTTCATTTTAATCGGGAGGATTGCACGTACTTGCCCCAATATGTGGATCAGATTGACGACAAGATATAAATATAGAACGGACAGTTTCAGACATTTGCTATGCTTGTTAGAAAAATAGTTTGTTAAGGCATCTTATTTTTTTACCGAGATGTATGCGGTATGGGCTGCAAGATCGTATGTTTGACAAACAAGGAGATCAATGGAATAAGATATTATGATGATCTAGTGACAAGATAATTTATGAATACAATTCTTCCCCACAAATTCTTCCCAATTACACGAATGCCTTCTTGTGGATATGTCTGTTTGAAATCTTGCATGTTGCATGTAGTAGGTTATTGGCACCCCAAATGACTAATGGGACTTTAAAATTAGATGTGCTCCAATTTGAATATGTTATGTGATGTTGGCCCATTTCGTGGTTCTCTGTACCGGTATTCAAGGTTCGTCATACCGCAACATACTACCTGGTATGTGCGGTATATACCGGTCCGATAGGGGACCGATACGAACAATATATATTGATTTCTTGGTACATCCCGTCGTATTGTATATCTATATGTTGGTGCGGTTTAGTACGTACTATACCTACAGCCAGTCGATATGTCGGTATGGACCGGTAAGACGAACCATGTCGATATTAATGTTTTTCTTTTCCGTCTATGCTAAACGTGTTCGTTATCTGATAGGGCACACAGCACTTTCAAAATCTCTGTTCTGTTTTCATTGTTACTGATAGGTAAGAATGCTTACTGGATACACTTCATCTTAGGTGGTTCTCCTTGATCCAAGGAAACAAACAAATATAAATTAGTTGGATTTAGTCCTAGTGTTGTGCTTATGAAATATGTCTGCACTTTCTTAAATGAGTTAGTGGTCTTTCTGGATGCTTCTTACTACACGTTATTATCTTTTTTATTTCTTGCAAAAGAAAGAAGAAGAAATCGTTGATATTCTTTTTGCTTTAGTTTGATGCTTGTTGGTGTTCAAATATCAATTTATTTTCCTGATTAAACACATCTTATTAGTCATCATAATCACTGTTCAGGTCTGGTGGATAGACTAGTAGGAGGAAGAGGGGAAAAATATGGTTAGAGATTCGGAATAGGAGGCAAAGGCAATTCGGTGGCCAAGAGCAATAAGTTGAGCCTTTAGCACAAGAGAGAAGACGAGAAATGTAGGTTAGAGGCGGAATCAAGTACATAGGAGGGGAGCAATGATCCGATAGAATAAAAAACTATTTCTTTTTTTTTATCTGGGAGTGGTTCCCTTCATTTTCATTGCATATAGTAAGTCCACATCAATATCAAAAGAAACATATTCCCTATATCTTACCGATTGTACAAGCAAACCATGGTTTGTTTTGAAACGATAGAGTGAGTGGCATGAGTTGTATGAATTATCTAACAAATAGATAGGCAGTTAAGGTAGGTTCAAGTATGCAATTAAAAAAATTGATGAATTTGAATAATATGCACAAAAGTTCAGATGTGCTACATATGTAAATACAAATTGCATATTTGTAATGGACATTTTTGAAGTCTATTATAATTGGGCCATCTTATAAGCATGTCGGTTAGGCAAATTATAACAACATTTTGATGGTACTTTTGGATCAACTCAATTAGTATCCTTGCAATCAACATATTATGGAATGGTCCTTTACTCTGAAGTTGATGGGATAAATATCTGTCACCTTTGAATAAGCCAATAAGGTGGACAACAAGTGCACAATCTTAAACTGATGATGCCCCTCTTTTAGTGCCTTAGTGCTTGTCATTTATCCACTGATCACCTTTTAACTAACATCTACTTTTGCTCTGCAGATCTTAGTGTGTTATCCATAAATGAGAAATATTCTATTTTCCTTAATTCTTTGTTTTCGGCAGTTTTAAGCCACTTTTATTGTTCATTTGTTTTCGTCCTTTGTGCTGGGTTATCTGCTCTCTAAACTTTTCTTGTCCTCTTATTTCGGTGAAGTTTAGTAAATATGGTTGTGTGGATACGTCTTGTTTTGATTGATTCTGACATTTGATGTTTAATTTAAGGCATCCCCATGATGATGAGGGCTCAGACAAGGCACCCCCTGGATCCATTGTCTGCTGCTGAAATCTCTGTTGCAGTAGCAACTGTTAGGTCTGCTGGTGCAACTCCGGAGGTTGGCTATTGTATACTATATATATGCTTCCATTACTATTTTACTAACCATGTTCTTTAATTTGATAGAGAGTGGTTATTTGAATTGACTTCACTATGCTTCCTTCACAGGTCAGAGATAGTATGCGGTTTGTTGAAGTAGTTCTTTTGGAGCCAGAGAAAAATATTGTGGCATTAGCTGATGCCTACTTTTTCCCCCCTTTCCAACCATCACTACTTCCCAGAACAAAGGGTGGTCCTGTCATCCTGAGTAAGCTTCCACCCAGGAGGGCAAGGCTTGTTGTCTATAACAAAAAGTCAAATGAGACAAGCATCTGGATAGTTGAGCTGTCTGAAGTACATGCAGCAACTCGTGGTGGTCATCACAGGGGAAAAGTGATCTCCTCTGAAGTTGTTCCTGATGTACAGCCTCCTATGGTATGTGCTTCATACTTCTAGAAAAGTTAATGGCTATATAATGCATCTTTAGAAATAAATATTGGAAAATATTCTTGGCTCTGTTATGAAATCTTTGTTCCGCCCAAGCACTAATTTTCAGATTCCTTAAAATTTGTTTCCAATCAGAAGTAGAACGTTCATTAAATTTACTGTGCATTATGTAATGAGCTTGTATGTAGTGTTACATTGGCATAAACATCATGGTCAGATTTGGATGCACGTTTTCTTATCTGATTCTTTGAAAGCAAATAACATAACATATGAGCCA